TTGGAAGATAAATTTCTTTCCATTTTTATATGATTACTCTCTTTGCTGAGCTCCAGGCTTAATAAAGCCAAACTTCAGAAAATGATAAATTCTGCATTTTTTGAATCATATTTACCTACTATATTTTACACAACTTTCAGCATTTCAACCAGCTCTGTAATGAATTATCTATCAGAAAGTTCTATCAGAGTATTATTCATGAACTATTTACCAAACAACTAGTCCCCAGTGATGAAAGGTTCCAAATAAAATTCTTTTTCTAAGATGTTAAGCACTTTCCACTGCCAAGCATTCCCAAGAAATTGCCAAATAATTATTCATAATAATAATAAATGCAAAAGCTCCTCTTGGCAGCAGACAAACTGAAGTGGACTGAATACACAGTCTGGTCTTCAACATTTTAGCTTTCTGGAAGAGTGCAGAAACAGGGTCAGAAGATTATTGTCTCCTTCTATATAATTCTGTATGTGACTATATTGCTGGCCAGTGGAAATGTCAGTTGCTGCTCTCTCGTTGGAACTCTACCATCTACTGTTTATTGCCAGGCAGCTGAACTCACACTTTCTGCTCATCATTCATTGCTTTCTTTCAAGTCTGCATTTAATAGACTGGGCATCAGATTCTAGAAGTTACAAAGGCCTATTCTGGCAAAGCTTTTTATAAAGCCCATCTGTAAAAGCTATTCAGATCAACTCTGTGTGATATATTTTAGACATATGGCTCAGAATAGTATGTTATGCATACATTCTTCTTTGCTTTCTTTTTTTCCCTTCCCTCCCACAGCACATTTAATACTGTGTTCTTTTTTTTTAAAAAAGGTATTCTACAGGTATAGCATTACCAATATAATTTGTTGCTTCTTTGATTGTTGATAAAAGAAGAAAGTGTCAAGGAATGAAATTTCTTTCTATTTGTTCATCACAGGATTGAAATTCAATTAGAATCAAATCTTTGGTTGCATTATTGTAACCCAATGAATGCCACAGATTAGGAAGAAAATGAATGGGATAAAGAATATATTAAGTTGGAAATGTTTTCAGTCCTTTTGGGAAACACTCCAAGTTCTCAATACTGTGCCTCACAAACACACAAATTAGTGCTTACTAGTATCCTGCTATAAACCAGAATATAGTTTGCAGGTGCTGGCACAGTTTATCATTGGTAATTTTTCTACCTAAGGTAGCAACATTTTTTCTTCTTTTGGAGAACAGATCTGTAGGTTCTTTATTGCCGACTTTAAGTGAGTCTGATAAGATGGAATACTGCAAAGATGTTGATTTAGCCAAAATGACAGCTATCAAATCAGAAATAAAAAGTAAAATAACAAAAGGAAGGAATAATTGAATGAATACCAAAAAAAGACCAAATTTAGTAATAATGGAAAATTGAAAAAGTACAGGATTTAACTAGAGTCAAGAAACATAAAGTTAAATTGTAAGTAAGCAATTCTTAGAAAATATCATGGAAATAATATAAAATATTAATAAAATTAGACCTAAAAAGGATATGTACCTATAACACCTAAGCATAGTCTTAATATTTTAGACATATATACATTTATACATACATACATATATACATACATAGCAACAGAATACTATAAACAAATATAGGACACATATGACGATTAAGTACAAAGGGCATAAAAATAAATGAAAGAATCATTGTATAAAAATAAAACAGTTTCCTGAAAGCTGCATATCAAGAGGCATATACTATAGTTAGATGAATAATATTTTTATATATGCAAGTAGTCATAGAACATAGAACATGGAACAATAGAGTTTGAAGTGACATTGGAATTCTCCTAGTCCAACCCCCTGTTCAAGCAGGAGATTATACCATTTCAGACTAGTGGTTGTCCAGTCTCTCTTTGAAATGGGACACTCACCACTTTTGAAGGCAAGTTTCTTCTTTACTTTACTTTACTTTTATTAGACTTCTATACCGCCCTTCTCCCAAAGGTCTCAGGGCGGTATACAGCCATATTAAAACACATAAAATTTACAAAATTTAAAAACCATTAAAATCAAATATACAAAAATTTGGCCCACAAATTAAAAACTGACATACACCCATTAAAATTCATATTCATGTTAGGCCAGCCCGGCTTGTTGAAACAAGACGGTCTTCAGGGCGTGGCGAAAGGTGCGCAGGTCGGGGATCATACGCACATCTAGGGGCAGCTCATTCCAGAGGGCTGGTGCCCCCACAGAGAAGGCTCTCCCCCTGGGCGTCACCAGTCGACATTGTTTGGCCGACGGCACCCTGAGGAGCCCCTCTCTGTGGGAGCGTATTGGCCGGTGGGAGGCTGTCGATGGCAGAAGGCTGTCTTGTATATACCCATTGGTTGATTGTTCTAACCATTAGGAATTGTCTCCTTAGATCTAAGTTGTTTCTCTCCTTGGTTAGTTTCCATCCTTGTTTCTTGTCTTGTATTTTTTTACAACCACAATTAAGCCCAAAATATACATTGCTAAGCAAGATAGTTATTAAGTGAATTTGTCCCACTCTATGACTTTTTTCCACAGTTTTTAAACGAATCACTTCAGTTGTTAGGTGAATCATGCTGTTTTTAAGGGAATCTGGCTTCCCCCATTGATTTTGCTTGTCAGATGTCAGCCGGGAAGGTTACAAATAGTGATCACATAACCCCAGAACAGTGCAACTGTCATAAATACATTCCAGTTGCCAAGCACCTGACTTTTGATCACATGACCATCGATCAATAAGAAGAGAAAATGAGAGACAATACCAGTGTTTCTTTTCAGATGGTTCAAGGATGTAAAATAATTTTGTTGAAAAATAAACACCGAAACCAGATTAGTTAAACTCATGGTGAGAGATTAAAAATCAAATACCATGGGAAAGCTTCATATTTAAGCATTTTAGAATAACAATCTAGGTTGATTGAATTTACATTTTTTAATTTTAAAACAAGATGTGTCATGTTTATTCAGAAAGGCTAGGTAAAAATATTACTGTGTAATATATGGTACCTTCCTTGCTGTAACAATTGAAGAAAGGAGTTGACAGTTTATACTTAATTTATCCAACTAGCTGATGCATGTAAAATGTTTGCATGAAGAAAATAATTTATTTTAGTTGCACTTTTGACTGCTAGAATTAGAAATAATTGAACATAATATTGTTTAAACTAGTTTTACTTGAAATTCCACATTTCATATTTGATTATAATTTCTCTTTCTCATCAGTTAGGAAAAGCTTCCCATTTCATTCAATGGGTTTCCATACTTTCAGGAACAATAATATTGTAGACATTCTCCACATTTTGCTTAATAATATTTTCATTTGAGATGATTATGTACTTAATTACTGATTGATTGTCCAATGAAAAGAAATTTTAATGAAGATTTGCATTCTTTTTTTTTTTTGTTAATGAACAATTTTAAAAACTCAGCACATCATACAATACATTATTTGGTAATATTTGCATTTGAAACACTTGCATTTACCTTCATTATAGAAGATAGAGGGCAAACCTAGATTTGTTCAGCAAAGGAATTTGAAGAACTGAGTCAAATAAAAAGATTAACAGGTTGTCAATTGTTTGGCAACTACATGAGAGCTTTTAAAAAACTAAAGTGTGAAATTGCAAAATTATATAATATGTATTTAAAGCTATGTATCCATCAGTGACTTAATAGGGTTCAGAGAGAACACAGACCATATTAAAATGCTATCCTCCATCCTTTCATTGGCAGAGAAGCATGCCAGGATAGAATACATCCTTATCAAAGAATGTTATTTTACCATAAGAATGTGGGCAGCAAGTGCTCCTAACCTTATCATTTGAATACAGGACAAATTAAGGAAAGATAGATTTCCCTGCCTTTGTTTCCCCTCTCACCAAGTGTCAATTTTAGTGAGAAAAAAACCCCACCAGTTGTAGCATTTAAAGTTTTGAGCACAATGGAACAATTGCAGGCTGGGGTGAAAAATGTAGGACTTTTGATGCTGCTTGAGTGGACAGATCACAGGCACATATCTATGACCTGTCATAGATAACTTTTGGTGCCACCTAGCTATCATAGTGATATTAGGGCAATTTTCATCATAACTGTTATATCATCCCACAATGATTGGATAACTCAAGAAGAAAGTGATGAAGCACACGGGAGGTAAGAAACGAGATCCCTCAATGCACTGGGCAAGAGAGCTCCCTTCAGCTTCCTACCACAACCCTCTTCTACGCCTATTATACAAACTATTGGCCAGGCTATATTTGGACATGGATTTAGCACTCTTTCAAAAGATTAATTTCTAAATTAAATATGATAGATTCCACAAGGATTATAATGCAAGAGACAATCAAGACTTGGTCCATCAACATCATAAGAAATGGCAACTCTAGACAAACTTGGCTGATCTCAAAAAGCTATTAGGGTTGGCCCTAGGAAATATTTAGATAGGAGACCACTAAGAAATCTGAGGTATATAGGCCAACATGCACAGATACCAGAAGGCAGCATGGTAAAGTGCTGCATATTGTTACCAAGAAAACCCTGTGAATATGTGGGAAACCGTGTGAACATGTCCATATCAAGTTAATCTTAACTAAGCTAGTCATCCCCCTCTCCCTTTTTCTGCCACAGTAGGTTTAAACTTAAGTGTCTGGTACGCTGATTATCATGTTTGCTAAAACAATTTTAAGAATTGTTGTAGTTGTCTTACATTTCACTATCCATTCTGGAAATTAACATGGGATAGCTAGGATATTTCCAGTCACATTTTAAAAAGTCTCAACAGCTTTTATTAGGAATATTGATTTTAACTGGGTGCATTTTTGTCAGCCAGCAGAGGGCATTGTAGTCATATTTTTTACAAACAAAGTTCAGATTATTTATAATATTGGTAAATTTCAATAATTATATACTTTATCTAGGGCTTCTGTAATCTATAGGGCTAAACTGCTATTACTGATGTCCACATTTAATTTAAGAATTGGTGAATTGTTTTGTTTGCTTGTTAAGGAGTGATAAGTATAAATAACACTGCAGGATACTGTCTTTCTTTCTTGGATTGGGGAAAACCATTCCATATATTGAAAAAGTCTCAAAGAATTGGTACAGCAGCATATAGAAGGATCTGAGAAACAAGGTAGGAGACAAAGTTCTTTTTCTTTTAGCATGAGAGACATATGACATCCCTAAAGCATGGAAAACTGCTTTTATCCTACCAAATAACTATTGACCTGAGTCCATTTTCTACAGCCCATCCTCCCATAATTATTGAAAACATCAGCACTGTTAACTGACATGTTGAGATGGGAAATACATGAAAATTGCAGTGTTGTAAGATATCAGAATTTAAAGAACACAGACAACTCAAAGCTCTCTCTCTCTCTCTCTCTCTCTCTCTCTCTCTCTCTCTCTCTCTCTCTCTCTCTCTCTCTCTCTCTCTCACACACACACACACACACACACACACACACACACAAAACCTAATCCCATCTATATGTGTAACATCCTTGCAACCATTTTTACAACCCAAAACTACTATCTCACAATGAGGTGATTCTTAGTCACAAAAATGTATGTTCTTCTAAAACATGTCAACTTCCAACAATTAAGAATCCTATACAAGTGGGAGAGGAGCTGTAAATAAACACATCTTGCTTGTACACAGTATATACTACCACAAAGAAAAGACCAGTAACTTACTACAGAAACAATCTGTAAGGAATGGGTTTTTTTTACAGGAAATTTGTTTTTTGTTTTTTGTTTTTTGTTATTTTCATCAAGATACAAAAAATCTCTTGACCAAGTTATGGTTGTGAACAATGTAGGAATCTGCATCTCTGAAATTGAATTAGCACAGCACTATGGGCAGGAAAGTGGAGGCCATTTACTTTTAACTGCTTAATAAATGGCATACTATATTTATGTACCAGGCCACTGTTTAATATGCTGACCAATTTTTAGCTGAAGACTGCAGGGCTAGTGGAGAATCAAAGCAGGAACAGAGAAATAGAATACTTATGTATCTGCAACCTCCTAAAGCTTGCCTTAACAGACCTATCAGCTGCCTCTTGTTTTCCCTCTTTAGCATGCAAACTATGCCCTAGTGAAGATAAGAAAAGTAATTGTGTGATTCAGGCCAGCCACATGATTCACTCAAAATATATTAATATGGGGACATGGAGACTGACATTTGAAAAACACTTGGAATTTATTGCAGCTTCTATTGTTCAACTAAGATCCAACTCTTTTCATTTACTTAGGGCTTGAGTTCACACTGACTTTTAGACACTGCAGTTTCAGAGATTATCTCTTTCTCAGAAAAAAAGCAATAAATCAATTTGTTGCCAGTGAGAATTGTCCAATGACCCACTGCATTCTTTGAAAAAAAAGCAATAAATCAATTTGTTGCCAGTGAGAATTGTCCAATGACCCACTGCATTCTTTGAAAAACATATTTGTTTCAAATCCAAATTACTCTATCAATAATAGGAACAACCCTGACATTTTTATGATCAGAATTGTCTAGATCAAATTTCACAAGACAAAAATATTGTTTCCTAGTATTGTTATGAACCCTTTTCTTGTGCCACATGTAGCTATTATATTTAACCTATGGCAGTGAGGAGCACAGGAGCCTGGCTTCTAGAGAAACCATACAGAGACAGAAAGCTGCATGGAACACAAAACAGGTTAGGGTTGAATAGTTTTAGTCCCAGTAGTATCTCAAATAAGTATCTGCTAGAACAGATAAGTTGTGTGCAATGTCTAGTTCTCTTATTATTATTCTTTTTTTAAAAAAAAAAAGTCGGAATTGTACTGGTTATTCTTGTTAGTGTTGGATGTTTGCTTCCTATCTCATGCACATTCTCATTCTCTCTCTTTCTGTGGTACTAAAGTATATTTTGCATTAGGGGCAGCTTTACCCCCAACTTTTCTTTGTTGCTAGAACAACATACCAATCTGTGGCCTCAGTGAGCTACAGCTGAATGGAGTTTGCTACAAGTTTTGTTTTCATGCTGAACAGAAAAGGCCTCGTGGGAGGTACATTTGTATGAGTGCATGCGCAGTAATGCATGTGATTAGAAGAGAAGAGTAAAGAATGAGAAGTGCATAGTGAGCAACTTTTAAAGCATTCAATGACTGCATAATGAGCAACCATCTCTGCTGAATATTGATTAGTCAGTTCTGGCAAGGTCTTGCTTTTGGGGGGGGGTCAGGGCTCCTGCCAGCTGCTTTGTGTAAAGGCAAAGTAGAGAAAAGATGTAAACTCCAGAATGCTTGTTGACTTATTGTTTCTGTTTTTCTAATTGGAGAGAGACATTTGGGGGCCATGTTACATGAGACAGAAAAGTGTGGATGCTAAATTGAAAATATAATTGGAGCACTGACTGCTAATGTATTTGCCAATTTGTTATTATCATTTTCTTTTTAAAAAATTATACTGTCACTCTCAAAACTTGTTTTGTTTGGAAATACAATCGTCTAATGGAAAATAATTGACTTTTACTATGGATTTCATAGAATACTAATTTTGTGAGTTTAAATAATAAAATGTTTAACCATGCTCAGAAGTAATTTGAATGAATTTAATAGAGTTTACTCAAATAAGTAGTAAGTAGAGGCTGGCAGTGAAGCCTCACCAATGACTTTTTCTTTCTAAATTCTATTCAATCTACTGCTGCAACTAGTATTGATGTAGTAGTTTTCTCTGTCCCCAGTGCTTTAAGAGCTACAAAGTATATTGATGATTTCTATTTCTGGTTAAGCAGCACATGTTAAAACAAAGTAATCTAAGAATGTTTTCAATAAACTATGTGTTTAGATTGTTGTTATCTGTTAGTCATACTTAAGGAATAATGTTGAAATAGGTTAATAGTTAATGAATAATTATTGGGTGTCATTTGGTAATTGATATGAAATCCTACCTTTTGAATGGCTGGGTATCTTTTTTCCCAGGCTGTCTGTCAAGATACAAATACCAAAAGTTAGAAAGGGAGAAAGGAACCAGCACAAACAACTCACGTCCAGCCCATTCATCTCTGGTGCTCTACCTTTTCTGAGTTCAGTAGAATCACCCATGGAATAAACCTGTCCCTCTGTATGTTCTCCAAATAAGAACAACGGAAAATTCCTAAAAGCATGCTGGTTTTGCATTTCTTTTTTTCAAAGAATTTCTCCATTCTAGGCCGAGGATGGAGGCTGTATACAAAGGCCCTTCATTCAGACCCATTGTGTGAGAAATAATTATGCTGCATGTTCTTTGTAACCATACATATTTGAAGTCACATTGCAAGAGGCTCCTTCTCACTGCCTACTTGTTTTTTTTAACAGAATAGAAAGAGATGGAAGAGTTACAGATGCTTGGGACAGAAAAATAAATCTCCTCCAAGTTTCTCCTGAAGTAGCCCCAAATGCTTAAAAATGGCAGGGGATACTGATAAATGGAGGAATGCAAAACATTTTGTATGTGTTATTGGTAAAGTGCACAGGCACAACTAAGACTGAATATCTGTCACAGTATAGGTGTGGCTTCCTCCTCTAACTCTCTGAACCCCTGAACTTGTGTCATCACTGTGGCATATTTTAACAACTACTTTAGCCTCAACTCTGTTACCAAAGTTTTGATAGTGTATCTTCTATTTCACTCTCCTTCCCCACTTATGCTAGATGTTAGCTTAATGGACAGAGAATATAGTCTGCTGTATTCTAGGTTCAAAAATTAATGCTACGGAAAGCTGGCCAGGCAAAAGACAAGAGGCGAGTGTATTGAGAGAGGGAATTTGAATGAACTATCTTTGGAGAGGTGTAGGAGTTGATTGAGTAAAGAAGAGAGCATACAACAGGTTCTGTCATCCTAATGCAGTTTGGATTAATCAAATAACAAGACACCAGTGCTTGCGTGAACTGCCTGTGGCTGGTGGGAACTGTAGCCTTCTCAGATTGGGGAAGATTATTGAATAGCAAATACAGAATAAAATAAGAATAAAATTATTTTTAGTTCTTATAAATGGTGATTGGATGCAAACAGGCCCTAGAAGGTCTGGTAGATTTTCAAGTATGATTTAATAACTACTATATTTCTTGCCATTAATAGAATATATTCATAACACTCAGCCCAGACTTACTTGTTTTTTACAAGCGTGACCTGTTAATGAGATGTTGTCATCTTTTTAAAGTGTGTAGCATAGGTCCACTACTCAGCAGCATTTCTCCCAGTTCAAGATGGGAGAACAATGAGAATTGATGTGTTTTAAAATGAAAGAATATTTCTACACTCTCTCTTAAACACAACCACCTACCAGTGCAAAATCCATCACTGAAGAGAATCCATTTTGTCCTAACATAAATCATATCTGAACATTACGAAGAATATGAGAGGAATGGTCTGTAATTTGATGTATGTATGTATGTCTGTATGTATGTATGTCTGTATGTATGTATGTGTGTATGCATGCATGTATGTATGTATGTAATACGAAACATCTGTTTCTAATTTTGTTATTCCTGAAAATGTGGTAGTGTCTATAATTTTCACATAATCTGGGTAAAGAGGAATTACACTAAACAATTGTTCTTGAATTGAACTTTCAGGATGAAAGATGCAATTCTAGTAACCATTTAATTTTCATGCAATCAAAACTGCTTTTTTGAGCAGTATATAATTTTATATACTTTAAATTTGCTGGCCTACATATCTTATCACTTCAATTTTGAATAAAATTCATATGGACTGAGGAACTTATCCTTACTTTAGAATGATAGAAAAGACCCACAGATTGTGAAAAAGTAACATTTCTGATTATCATCAGTTTTTCTACATGTCAAAGAAATTAAACTACTACTAGAATTTTACAAAGCAATGAGATGATATGTTAAAGTGTTTTCTAAATTAGCTTTAGAACATAAATTATTGTAGACATCTTTTTTAACTTTAACCCTTTCAACAAAACCTCTCACACCCATCTCAAAAATGGAATAATAAAAGTCATACAGATATTTGATCAAATATTCTATAAAATGTGGCTACATTGTATTATGTTGCTGTTTCAAATCAGTTTCAGTAAGTGCATTTTGATTTTTTACCAGTAATGCAAATATCAAAATGTTATTTGAAATAGATATGTCTTTTTAAAATAAATATGTATAACCTTAAGCACATATATTTAAAAATCTCCCATCAAATTCCAAAGACCCTTCTCCCAGTTGTTATAGGAAGACAAATTAATGCCCCTGTTTCATAATCATTTTGTCTTTTTATATTTTATATCCCCTGTTCCAATTAGTTTTAGAGATTAGAGAAACATGGTTTAAACTAGAAATGTTTTGAGAAGTCAGTGTCAAGTGATATTCTAGATCAACCAAAACTGTTGCACTATTATTAGTGTTTTGCATAATTTTCCTCACTGCTTTAAATAAACAAAAGCATATTTTTCATTCCTTACAAGTAGTTTTCTTCAGTGTCAACTAGTAAGAAAGTTGATGGGGAGAAAGTGCAAATTAGTGTGAGAAGATCTAAGGAAACAGAAGTGCTGTCTCCCAATGTTAGTATTTGAATGCTTCTCCATCTGTCACTGAAAGAAGGAGCAGGTACTTTTTGACTCTGGATTTAATGGTTTTGCCGGAGGCCGAGGAGAAACATTTTAGATTATCATGTGCCTTATTTCCCTGGGGAAAATCCAACTAATATTTCTTTTATCCCCATTCCTTGATTCCATGTTTTACAACTGCTTCTACATTCCTGAAATGTTAGACCAGCAAATAAAACAAATTTAAAAACATGTTTGGCTGCCCAGTCTTAAAAAAACAAAAACAAAGAAAAATATTCTGCATATGTGTAGCATCATATTTGAAATCATTACACTATAATGTTTCCAAGAATAAAATATATCCTGTTTCTGGTGATTTGATGCCAAATGGAATTGTTTAGCAATAAACATTCAAGGAAAACGGATGCTCTATTGCCAACAGCGTGGCCATCCATAGTCTTGCTGTGCCTATGTCTGTCCAGAAGCTGACACGGTCTCTGATGCTACTTCCTCACCTAGCAACCTTCCCCATGTTGCCTTTGCTAATGTGGACTTTCCCCCTAGCTATATTACTGAAATCCATCTCTTACCTTACAGAGTTTCAAGATTAGCCAGCACACCAGATATGCTGTCAGGGTAAATTTTGCCTTCATATATCTCTCAGGTAAACAGCTAAGATACATTTGTACAAAATCCACATCATCGTCCACCCTGGCTTCACTGCTGCCTGCACCAGCAAAAGCCTCCTCTTGCCTTCTTTGATGTCCCCCTGATGCATTCAGAAACTTGTTGAACTCCATCTTATCAACTATTCCTCAGTCTTTCACAAAGCCACCAGCAAGAGAGAGAGTCCTTTGTTTCGAGGCAGCAGTTAACTCTTCCTGGCCATCGCACGATTTGGCCTCTGCAATCAACACAGTGCTGATGATGCTGGAACAAAACTTCTTAGGTTAAAACTGTTTTGGCTGGTTGCCTTTCTGTTATTGAAAAACCTCTTGGAAATGTGTGTTCAGCTACAAGATAAATATAGCACTGCCCAGAGAGTGTCAGCACAAGAATACTTCTGTGGTTGCCAAGACTGAAAAGAAAGATTCCATTTAGTCAAAGTGCAAGCCCCAGCTCCCCACCCGCCCCACATCACTGCCCCCTTGTTCTTATTAGGAAGTGAATAAAAGAAAAAGTGATGATCTATCAAAACTCTCTGGACCAGTTTTGTTTCCCCAAATGAAGTTCCAGTTCGGGAAAGAATATCATCCTTGTGGGGAAGGATGCATTTTTGTGCTGCAAGGATTTTTTGTTGTTTTTCTTATTTCTCCCCAACTGCAATAATTTGCTGTTTGTTATGGGAACACTTGCTACAGATTTCAAAAGAACATATTATTGATGTTCTACATTCTGAGCACTAGTAGACAGACAATGAAGGCCAAATCTTTGAATCTTATTTTTTCCTAATTTTTCATATAGTAATTTAACAGGCTGTATTTCAACATTCTCACTTCCTTCTACAATGCCCAAGTTCTTATCTGAAATTTATATTTCCAGATTTCTACCTCCAAGCACTAAAGGATTGAAGTTAAAATTCTCCTGATCACATATGCTATCTTTGGTCAAACATGTATTTACCAGTCTTTGTGAAGTTCTTGGTAGCAATTCCATAAACCTAATTTATCCTGCCATTTGCTTATCCAGTTCTTGACCTTGTGTATTCTCTCTCTTTCATGAAGGTTTTTTCCATGAACTGGAAATATAAAGCAAGACACCGAAGCCCCCAAAGTTTTGAACTTCTTTCCTAGATCTTCAAAGACCATAGAGACATGATTATAGCTATTCCTAATAATATCATTTGCTCCACATGAATTAAGGGGAAAGAATAATTGTTATTAGATTTAATAAGAACTTTGAAGTTCTCATATCTTTGATTCCTATACCTGAAAGAGAATACATTTCATAAGCTAACAAGTGTAGTTGTTTCGATTTATCATAATAAAGGATTACCAGTTACACAAATTTTCATTTTACTACATCCTTCTGGCCTTTAAGAGTCTAGTACCTTCTTTACTTTTACTTTTTTGTTCTCTTGAAGACTCACAGCCTGTTTCTTCTGTGAGGACTTGGAAACTGTTTAGGTTCCTCCTTTATTTGATTCTTTTCCCTAAGGAGAATTCCTTCTTTGTCAATTCCTCTTTGATGGAATAAATTATATAACATTTGCTGATGTGATCTTTTACTTTTTCTTGGAAGAATACAAGCTTGCACATATTTGGAAATATATGGCCAGTACTTCTTGGGCACAAATACAGATATGTGATAAGCATTGCGAGCTTTGATTCTCCTTTCTTCTTTGCTTTGGTTGCTTCAGATTTGATTCTTCAGATTCTCTCATTAGGTGCTTTTTTCTGATACATTATAAAGCTTTCTGGTTAAGCAAATACTCACTGTTTCATTTCAGTGGAAAATTTGTCACATTCCCGCACTGAATTACAGAGGCACACTCTACTTGTTCCATTTATTATCTTCAGTGATGCCTCTCTTTTTTTTGATAATGAGGTTATAATGATGCAAAATAATATATTTCATTCCTCTCTCATTCCTTTCAACTGGTTACCATCAACTGATTGCTTGAATGTGGTTTTCTTTTCAAGTGAATGCCATCTTCCACGCCAATTGCATGGATTTGTGGGACAGAATTGCTGCAGCCATTATTATCAAGCTAGATGAGGTTATAAACAAAACACAAAAGAGGAGTTGCAGTTACAAGCTCCAAATTCTTGATACTTTAATTCCCATGATAGCATTCTCATAGAATGTTTTTCTATACTGATGGCTTTTCTAACAATTTCATGTAGCTTGTTTTTCCTATTTACTAATATATATATTATGCTTTGGCCACCTAATGAGAAGGAAGGGGTCACTGGAGAAGACCCTAATGCTGGGAACGATTGAGGGGAAAAGAAGAAGAGAACGACAGAGAATGAGATTGCTGGATGGAGTCACTGAAGTCACTGAAGCAGTAGGCATGAGCTTAAGTGGACTCCGGGGGATGGTAGAGGACAGGAAGGCCTGGAGGAACGTTGTCCATGGGGTCACAATGGGTCAGACACGACTTTGCAACTAACAACAACAACAATATTATGCTGAAGACATTAAGATAATCAAATTGAAGAATAGCATTATCAAAGAATAGGCAGATATAGATATAGTTAAGTGTATTATTAGAACCATAGACTAGATTCCCACTTTGTGCTAAACCATAATTTGTTGGATAGTTATTTAGATTCACACAATATGCTTAACCCTAAGCCATATCATAAAAGACTCTGGATTCACACATAATACTAATTCAAAGTCAAAAAGTAACATTTAGACATCAAATTTAGACATCTCAAAGAAAGTTATGAAATGTAAGTTCATACATCTTGTTAATACATTATTTGGTGTCCTTGCTTTTGAATTAAGATTGGTTGAAACCAATGATGGGGTTCAGCCAGTTCGCACCACTACGGGAGAACCGGTTGTTAACTTTCTGAGCAGTTTGGTGAACTGGTTGTTGGAAGAAATTATTAGGGCAGAGAACTGATTGTTAAATTACTTGAATCCCACCATTGGTTGAAACTGTAGTTTGTATTAAATTTAAATTTATTGACAAAGAAATAAAGGGAGACTAGTATAGCTATTTCAAGCTTTTGGGCTCTCATCAGCTAGCCATACCCTTCTGGGATCCCTTCTGGGAACTAAAAAGCTTGAAATAGCTGTAGTAGCCACCCTTTATTTATCTGATAGTAAATTTAAATTTAACACAAAATAGTTTGCCATGGAATCAATTGCCTGTGAAGGCTCCTGGATTGGAGCTGAAAGGCGAAAGTGGAAGCAGTATGCTCCGTTCCATATTTGGGTAGACCAGGTTGCCCTGATAGACAGTTCTCACTGAAAAAACACTTTTGTAAATCTATGATTTATGGCTTAATAGTAATCATTCATGGATGATTTACATAAGCAACCATTGGTAAAAGAAATCAAGAATTAGTATGTTGTAAACCCAGCCATTGAATGTGGCATCTTATATTCCCTATTTCTCCAATATGGTGTCCTCAAAAAGTTATCAACATTTCAAATAAGCATAGCCAGATGAGCATCCTGGAATGGTAGGATGGGAAGCATAATCCAACAAACCTGGAGAGGATCAAAATTAGATTAGAATATTAGAAAAGTTATTCTATTCAGTGGTGAAGAAAGGTACTACTAAGCAAGTATGACAAAAAAGCTACAGATACACTGAGGAAATGAATCATCCATTTATTTGTTAAAAACATATCATAAAAAACATATTCAAACATAGTTCAAAATTATAAAATAATACAGGCCTTCAAATTATTGCTACAAATGTACCAATGAATTTATTGTGTAGATACTTATATACATAATACAGTACATTGTGTAGAGACAAAGATTCAAGTATGGAGTCTTCAAAATATTTGTTTTGGTTTTTTTATGTTAGAATTAATTAAATGCAAGGCAAATCTAATACCATAAGCAACTGTAAAGCATTTAATTTAATTAATGAAATGATTCAAAATACATCAAATGTCATTTAACTAAAATGTTTTGTTAAAATTGTGCTGGGAGATAATATAGAATAATGTCTAGCATGCATATAAAATCATGCTGGTTCATGCAAATAAACACATTCAGCCCATCCTTTATTTATTTTATCATTGGTCTGACCTTAAAAGTAAAACAGATTCACATCATCCCTATCACCTCTCCTTTTCTGAAACACAGTTCATTCTAAAGTTAAACTCCTTTGTATTCCTTTTGTTGGATATTAGTTATGGCCATTTTTATTATGCTGATATTTGAACTAAGTTTTCCAAAAACTTGAGTTTTATCAATCAAAGCAATGCAAAATTTGTCATCTTTTATTTGAGCACATGCCATCAGAGCAGAATTTGGAACCAAAAGTCCAATATTTCAACTAACAGAAAAAGCAGAAGACTCCTTAAATACTGCAGGCATGATTTGTCACATTTTCAAGCATATTAAGTAATACAGTTTGCTATCTAAACATATAGTATTACAACCAAAATCTAAAGGTATTGAATTGTATCATTTGATTCTTATTATTGAGTGAATAATAAGAGATATAACAATTATTACAGGAGAGTAAGTTTTGCAAGCAAAATATGTAAGATTTAAAGGTTAGCTCAATATATCAGAGTTTACTAATGAGCATTTTGGCTCTACACATTTGCTAACAATTGAAGCAAGAAGTGCTAGAATAAAGTACCCACTAATGAACAATATTTAAAGTAACTGTTAATGTTTTATATAAATATCCATACATTTAAGAATATTGTTTGATGAAAGATGGACACAACTTATCACATTCTTAGTCCTTTGTCCTTTATCATGGCTAAAGTTGTGGCTATGATGATGGGCTGAAAATCTGTGAGAGATTATTTACATAATTTATGTTGACAAATTCAAGTTCATGCAGAAAATGTGAACACATTATAGTATAATCTATATCTTCAAAAGGTAATAACAGCTCAACAATTCTCCTTCTTTCCCATATATAAGTGTGTGTGTGTGTGTGTGCGCGCACGCGCACACACGCATCATGTATTATTGTTCTTCATATGGAAATGGCAGAGAATCCAATTCTAATATTGCCCTGGTATCTTTGTGTTTGTCCTAACTATAGCTCATTGTACTTTTGAAACTGCACAAATTTTGATATTATCAAAATACAGATTATACTATTACAAAAAAACAGAATTAATTAATTATTGGGATATACATAGTAAAAGGGCTGGACTTTTGTGACATAAGTCCAGCCCTTTTTTATGGATGGTACCAATAATTAACTTATTTCACAATGTTGTGAACCTGACAGCAAACCTAGTAAGTGTAAATCTTTTCGGTTCTCATGGCCTCACTAGATATTCTATGTGAATAGGGAGGGAGGAAGGGAGGGAGAGAAGAAGGAAGGGAGAGAGAGAGGGAGGGAGGGAGAGAGAGAGAGAGAGAGAATTGCAGTTCCCAAAAATAATTGTTTACTGTTAAAAATTGTATTGGAATAAGGAGAACCTGTCAATAATAATTTGGAAAGACCAATCAATGACAAAATTAACAATAGAGATTCAGAATGAAAGTTTGGCTAAATTTAAGCAAGAAAAGGTACTCTATATTATCATATGACATATGGTTTTTAAGAGGGAAGTAGCTAACAGTAACTAGGAAAATTTCAGTGTTTCTAAAGATGTTAATGCATCTTTAGAAAAAATTGAATGAAAAAAAATGAAAAAAATTTAAAACTAGTTTAGGAACACTTTTTACTTATTGTTCTTTCTTTTTTATTTTTTTTTATTTTTTTCCCTTTAAATTATTATGTGCATCTATTTTTAGAACAATGACAAATAGTGATGATATCAATATTAATATTATGTTTACAGTTATATAGATATTTCTTTTTATTTCTCAAAATGATGTAATGAACTTAACTTTATATATTTATTTAATTAATGAATAAAACAATAAGTTTTACATTTTATAATAATTGTAAATTCTTTAGGTATTTATTGATATTTTATACTTTATCCATTATGTCTCTTTTAATTTTTATGTAGCTATTTATTCTATCCTTTTAAATGTTTTAATAAAGAATAAATATATAATTTTTTTTAAATAATGTAGGTATCTTATCATGCCTCAGTGGTTTTGACCATAATAAATAATAAATAATAAAGTGGTTTTAACACTTTAATATAAACTAATTTCATCCTGTCATAACCAAAATTGTTTGGAATAATAGTTAGGAGTGGATTAGGATTAGGATGATTCAAATTCAAATTCAAATCCCTACTTAGTAAACATCCCACAGCCTCAGATACATCATCATATGGGCTGTTTTGAAGATAAAATTGAAGAAGACAATATCACTTTGGGCTTCTGGAGAAAAGTGTTCCTTTCTTACTACATTTTTCAAGATTGGTTATATAAATATAGAAATAAATATGGTACAGATAATGAAAGTTTATTCACAAATGTGTATGAATGCAAGAAAGCATGTCTGCTCTCCATTCATATTGTGGTCTGTTCAAACAATATTGTTTCCTTAATCAATAGAATTTGGAATATGGATATTTGTGACAACCATTTTAAAAATGTATCAGATACAATGTTTGTTGTGCCCCCCAAAAAAGACTATATACAACAACCAGCAAATATGAAGATTCCCAACTGAAATTGTTCATTCATGCACATACGCAGGCTGATGATGATGACTGATATATCCAGTGTCCAGGCAATATTCAAGATATCAGCTTGAAGAGCCGTGGTAGCAGTGGTTAGAATTAGAATGCAATTAGAATGCAGGCTAATACTGCTGACTGCCAATTGCCAGCAGTTCAGCAGTTCGAATCTCACCGGCTCAAGGTTGATTCAGCCTTCCATCCTTCCGAGGTGGGTAAAATGAGGACCCAGATTGTTGGGGGCAATATGCTGACTCTGTAAACCACTTAGAGAGGGCTGTAAAGCACTGTGAAGCGGTATATAATATAAGTCTAAGTGCTATTGCTATTGCTACACGTTCTCTGCCAGAAAGAAGAAACTCTACAACTCTGTATGGGAACTGCAGTGCTGAAACTCCAATTGCCTCCTCTATGTTATCACATGAAAAAACAGTTACCACTATTGCCACTATTTATATTTATTCCCATATTTTGCTTTGCAGTCATGTTACTGCATTCACCTAGAATTTGTTTTTTCATTTGTCATAATGGCAGAAATAAATAGGCCCAATAATTATTTCAATATAAAATGGATATCTTCATGAAATAATAATAGTAAGAATAATTAGTAGCACTGGCAGTTATTGAATAATGACAGAGACAAAGGCACATTATAAATAATATCCAAAATAAGCATCAAAATTATCTTAAACATCAAGTAATGTGGATATGCAATTAAGTAACCACTGTAATACAGCAAGGATAATTTTATACATCTGATACAACATGAGGAGAATAGTTCAAATGTTATACAGACATTCTGAGATAAAATTGTATTTATTTACATAGTGCTTAAGCCAATTGACAACATTTTTATAGAGTGGGATACTAAGTAAGCATAACATACACAGTTAACTTCAAAACATCATTCTTATTCTTAATATGCTATGCAATTTTTTTTTACTGAAGAAATTACTAGTGATTCTTGGGATGATGGTAGCCCAGATTCGTTACTGTATTCATAACTGAGAGAGACCAATAAACATGCCAACAGCAGAAAAGTCAGAGAATTCCTGGAAGCCTGGCACTGAAATAAAGGAGCCATCAACAAATTGATGGAACTGGATTCATTCTTCTCCATTCAGGTAATTCAAACCACACATAACCACAAGTTGATAAAACAGACCAATTAGAATAAAACTAACACCATTCCCAATCACAAATCAGTTGATATTTTCCAAGAAGCATCCAATGACCAATTAACCCACAGAATTCAAATTCTGTACAGACTATAAATATTGTTAAGAAATCACCATGAATTATTGTATTGAGGAAGCCGTGCTGGAATATGAGGTAGAATACCCGCAAAAACTTGATCTCTATTTTGACTCTTAATTTTTCTCTTTTTTTCTTTTTTTTTTTCCCCTTTAATTGGGTTTCTAGAGAAAGCCAACTAAAAGTACTAATGTCTTGGTTTAAGAAAGAGGCTCCTATACAATATATACTGTAAAAATTAATCAAATGAAGTGAAGCAAAGGCAGAACAGACTAAAAAAAGATATTTGCAAGCACTATGAGAAAAAGTTTGTGCCTCAGAAGAAATATTTATTCAAGCTATAACTTGCAACTTTTTAAACTTTAGTTTGGATATAGACTAATTTAACACAGTAGAGAAAAAGATTAGTGTCCTGAGAATGCATTCCTTCCAGTGCAAAACATATTGCAACATTAAGTGAACATTCAGATATTGTAGTCTTGGCATGAATTTTCTTTTATATCCAGAGTACATGAATTAGAACAGGGTCATCATTGTTGCCAAGCTCCAAAGCAGCATTTGTCTGTGCACATATCTTTTTATTGCTGCTGTTTCACGTGTAATTTCTTCAATCATGTTAGCATTGGCTGATATTATAGAAAGAAAAATTATATCCTGTATGACTGGAACTAATACAATACTGTAAATCCGTGCTGGAAATGAAACTCTTGCAGAACATTCTCCTATTTAAAGAAAGACTTTATGGCAACAGAGATTCTATTTACAATTCATCATATTTAATAAGTCAGATCATATCTAAGTGGGGTTCTGATGAACAAAAAGAGTGCCAAGTCTGAGACACAAAACTAAACTCACTCACAGCTCTCAGGAGACACTTTTTTCCCAGCCATTGAGGCATCTAGATAATCTTAGACTCTTACAATAAACTCTTCTAGATGTAACTTTAGATGTAACTTTAGCTATAAGCTCAAACTCTCTTGGAAATAGGCACCATGTTCTGGTACCAAAGAATGATATTTTCAAAGAAAAATATTAAGAAAACCATGCTCGTGCTCAGTTGACCAAACTTTGACTACACTGTGCTTTTAAAATAAGAACAGAGAACCCCTCTATAACTACCTCCAATCCTCCTGATGTTCACTGCTCTGTCATTTGCTCCCATAACATGAGATAGTGACCTGGCATTTGTTTTTGAAATCCAACTATGGTAACTCCCTCTTCCCAACAGAGATTCTGATATGGGAAGTGAGAGATGGAAATAAAAATAGGTAGGGGATGACACCAAGAAACTTCAAGAGCATATATAGAAGGGAAGTTCTCACATATATAACATTTGCTGCTTGAATCTCATTCTCCATTCCAGTTTTCCTATCAAATTCAGGAGATGGGTTTTTAAATACCTCTAATGGCTGATATTACGTATATAGTAGTTTGGTCTGAATAGGGTGCATCAGCTGTATCGTAGATGAAAACACATGGACTCAAATGATTAAAATCAGGCACAATGGTAAATCACAGTATAACCAATAGTGTTAAACTGTATTTCAATGGAAGATGGTGTTTAATCCAGTATTACATACATATTGCCATGGCTCTTTAGGAGTCGTTTCCTGATCTGAAACAAGACTCATTTGTGACATGAAGTACAATCAAGAACTTTATCAGCCATTTGTGGTGGATGGGAAAGAAGAAAAGTGAAAGCTGGATGCAGATCCATTGCTGATTATCATCATATTAGCTCTTGTTTCTCAGCAAGGTTTCCAGCTATGTGAAAAAGTTATGAAGCACCCATTTGCATGCAGAAATCCTTAAACATTTAGGAATACATTCATTTGAATCCTTCATATGCAAACAACAATCTTAGCTGGGCTGGGGCATTGTTTTTAAAAGGTATCATGGCATACATCCTTACATGTTCTGAAATTTCTCAAAATTGCCCACATTAAAGAGAATTATGAGGAAAGGATATACCTATATTCTAAAAATAAAAGGTATTTACATTTGACTCAGCAGAACCAGTTCCTGAATCTAGGGTGTCTCCTTTCATTTGTCAGATGCATTCAATGAATAAAATAACAAAATGTTAAGAAGGTACTATGATTATTTAAATCCAAATTCTTCTGGTAGGAGATTAAGAGGAACACGATTATCCACAGTTGTATCTTCATTAGTTCTCTGTCATTGTTGGCACCAGTTTCTTACCTCACTTGATGAGAAATTCATTTTTATAGAATGGAGAGGAAGGGCACCTTTCTCTAGAGTTGTACCTGGAATATGAAGAATATATTTCTTTATTATATGGTGTTTTAATAGACCACATTTACAGCTTGGACTTTGTCAGGAGTATTGTGATTATTATATTATGAGGGCATAATATAGTGACAGAGGAACTCTGTTCTACAATTGCATTGTTTCAGGGAAGAATATTAAATTGATCAACATCTATTTTATTGTAACACTTTACAGATACTGTTTACCACATAAATGACTGAACTGAAAAAATATGGTCCAATATTATAAATGATGAGGTCTGACGAGGTTCTTAGGTCTGTGCTCTAACAAATATACCCCACTTGTATACTAGAGAACATATAATACCAGTTTCTTCCTCAAGTTGACCTATAGCAGTAGTGGCTACTTATACTTGTTTATGTAGCTGTAGTCTTTCAAAAAAAAAAAAGAGGGGGACAAGCAACTTCTGCCATTACATCCCACAATTTCTAATATTGTTGAATACACAATACGGATAAAAAAATATACATTTAGAAACCACAATGAGAAATGAAGCTAAGCAATTCATTATGCCTCTGATTTCTCCGCACTTTTTCTCTAACATTAAAAGGAAGAAAATAATCATTTTGTATGAATTTGGCATGTCCTGTAAAACTGTGTAATTGCTTCAACACATACCCAGCTCAAATAGTTTGAATTATAATATGACTAACTATATGCAAGCACTCATCTGCAATGCAATGCAGGAAAGTTGAAGGATGGGTTATCATATGCAAAACTGGACAATGTTTCCTCAAATAAATTATAATTCCATGCAGTTGTTTATAAAAATCAACATGTTATCAAGGTTTGTGATCACAAGAGCTTGAAAATCAAATTCAGATGAATATACTAACAAATTTAAATATTTAAATTTTAAAAAGGTCTCCAAGAGCAGCCAGACTGTTCAGAATATTAGCAAAAAGGCTTTGCTTCCCTTCCACAAGTTAGCCTACAAAATGTAATATGCAAACTCTTAATACAAAATGGCTGGATTCACCATAACTAAATCATGGTCTGCCTTAACCTTGCTTATTGGTCACATCAGTGGTAGAGGTTATATATAAGCCAAATGACTGGGTTCATGCAAAGCCAAATTAAACAAATATGATACATAAGGATCATAGTGATGGTGAACCTTTTCGGCACTGAGTGCCCAAACCAGAACGCGCATGCATGCCCATGCATGTGCATGCGCCAGAGGGCCAGAAACCCAAAGACCAGCTGGCTAGTGAGTGCATGCCTGTTTTTTGGCCGTTTTTGGCCATTTGGGGGGCCATTTTCCAGTGCCTGCGAAGACCAGCTGGCGCACCAGAAACCAGAAGAGCAGCTGGTGACGGCATGTGTGCCCACAGAGAGGGCTCCCCATGCCACCTCTGGCACACGTGCCATAGATTCGCCATCACGGATATATGATATACAAGGGTACCAGTCTTTGTAACAGCTAGTCTGAAGCAATCCCACAAAGCTCTAGTTCACATAAAGCAAATTTTATATACAAAGCAAATTCCTTTTAGGATAGTTTGCCAGGTGTTAAACCATTCTTGATCATGTCTGCAAAAGAAAGGAAGTCCAAAGTAAGATCATAAACACAGTCATAATTTTCTTTACCAACAGCTTTGCTTAACAACCAAGTTGTCTGTCCCAATTGTGGTCACTAAATGAGGAAAATTATTTCTTATATAATAATTAAACTATTTAGTGCATTTGTTCTTGATCATGGTTAGCCTTTTTTAGTCCTCCCTTTCAATTTTTGCTTTTTCCTAGTAATGCTAGTTCCTGAACTTTCTTCTACTGACTTTGTTTTTGAACATACTTTGTTCCACAATTGTTCTTAATTCATTATGTAGGAGTTGCTATTTGTTCTAGTGTTTTCCTATGGGTTAAATGTTTTTAAAAACTGCATCAAAAACTGGGAAAAATGTATGTAAACATTATTACAATTTTTTTTAAAAAGTAAATATTTAATATGTATTAAATGTATTAAATTTTAATTTATATGTAAGTATGTAAATACATATAAATTATGTAAATTTATGTATTAAATTTTAATTTATATGTAAGTATGTAAATAAAGAAGAGTATCAATAAATTTAAATAATCTAAAACACTGCTTTACACATCAAATTGCAAAACTACAAAAAAAGGAAGAGGTTTGTAGGTTTGGTTGGTGTTGCTATTTTTTATTTAGTGCTACTTTTTCTATTATTTTCTTTGCCACTCCTTTGCTTTGATTTTACTTTATTGCCAGTAAATAAATTACGTTCAAATAATGTTTGAGATATTCTGCCCTCTGCTGATAGATAGGTTGTAACTGCTTTATTGTCCATAAGCAATTTGCAATATAAAAATACGACACATGATAATAGGCCATTCTGAAAGTGATGCTCATCTGTATCACAACTCAAATTAAAGTATCTATGATGGACCACAACTGGGCTGTGAACCATTTGGAACAGCAGAAATGGTGGGTGAGCCACACGCATACCCATTTGCACAAACAGTGGGCGAGCATGTGTGGAAAGCTCCATTTGCACAAGCAGCAGGTGCACATGCCCACCACTTGCACAAATGGAGCCGCGCACATGCACATTTGTCGGCCACTCACACAGAACCATCCCTTCTCCCCCACCCCCACCAGTCTGCAAAGCTGAAAAGGTTGGGCAACTCTGCTGTAGAGTAATAGAGAATAGTTCTTGTTCTTCTATGTGACTTTCTGTCAGACACATAAATAATGATGTTGTATTCTCCCTGTCTTCTGGAAAAACAGTTTTTCCAAAGATGTTTTCTCCATTAGTAATGAGAATACCAACACAACAGAAAAAATCCATGACAAGAGTTTTCTCTTATCCCTTGGGATGTAATTCTAATATGGAAAGATTGTTTACCAGTGCAGCTTATGTGGCATGGATGGGATTGTTCTGTGGACCAGCTGTAGTTTCTGGATGGTCTTCAAGAGTAGCTCCATACAGTGACTCTGAGGATATTGTTTCACTCCAGGACAGAGCACAACTGGCACACCAAGAGCAGTAGCAATAGCACTCTCTGGCCAGTTTACAACATCAGCATATTGCCCCCAACAATCTGGGTCCACATTTTACCAATGTTGGAAGGATGGAAAGTTGAGTCAACCTTGAGGCCCCTCAGGATTGAACTCCAGACTGTAGGGAGAGTTTGCCTGCAATACTGCATTCTAACCACTGTGCCCTGGCTCCTAGCTGAACCTATGCAAAGGCTACAGCTGCCACCTGTTTATTGACCAGGAACTGAGGGTCCAACAAAACACCCATGTTGCACACAAATTCCAAATACAGCACTACCCCATTTAAACCTAAAAATAACGAAGTCCTGGAACTAAGAGAATCAAACCTCCAAAGCCATTCTATCTTGCTAGGGATGAACCTGACATTCCTCCCTACCCCAGCCAGATCCCAACAACCCAATCAATTGAAATTTTTACTCTGTTTTTAATTGTTTTCAAGTTTATTTGATCTTATTTCTTTTTTATCACATTTTATTAGTTTATCACAATATAAAATACAAAAGAAAATAAAAATAATGTGAAACTAGAGGGAGCAAAAGGGAACAGAGGAAAGTTGGGGTAGAAGGGGAAATAGGAAAAAAAGTATTGACTTCTGTCTCTCTAGCAAAGTAGAAGATAATAACATTACTGCCTCAACTTTTTATTTTTACACAGTAATACTAGCCATTTCTAAAACAATGAACCTATCTAATCGGTAAAACCAACATGAAAGTTTCATTTTTTCTATCACAAGCACAAAATGCACAAATGGTTCCCAAATGGAATCAAAATTAGATATATTCTTTCCTTTTAAATAAAGAAATCTATTTAATCTATTTAATTCTATTTCTGTAAAAATCTACAGTTTCTTAAAAGTTATCATGAAGATGTGTATCCATTTTTGTGTGCGTTTGTCTTAGCATTTACACTTTGGTATATAATTTGCCACTATTTATACTTTTACAATTTAAGTTCCTAAAATGAATTTTGTGCATAAATTATCTTCAGTTCAAATGCATATACTTTCTAGAAAAAAATTAAAAATTAACTAAAACAATTCAGAAATCCTTCAATAACAAAATGTAATAATGTTTTTGTTGAATTTGGCATCTCCTATTAAACTAGAGGATATGCCTCAGGCAATTTGCCTTTTCCAACATTCCCATTTTCATGAATTTTATAATCAACCACAAAAGAGTAAATCTCCTCCCTGTCCCTTATTTGTCCTTACATCGTTCTTGAGTCCATGGCAGCCTATTTTGAATAATCTTAAGTAAATGCTATGGCAATAATTCACTAAAAATATTTAATTTGAATGAAAAGAAAGTGTGTGGAGTATCAATTTATGGCTAAGATCTACTCTTTCGCTCAATTCTCAATTATGTTAATATAAAGTTAACTCTGTTTCTGCTATTTGTGTCCCCACTCCTTAAATAAAATTGGCACATACCCTTTTGAACGCATATTTTCCAAGAGAAAGAGAAAGAGGGTATAACATACCCTGATTTCAAATCAGTGGCAACCATTTAGTGAAATACTGCCAGAGTTTGCCAAGGCAGCTCTCTAAACTTGTCGCCATGGAAACCTGCCTCTGCATAGAGATGTAAGGAGTTATTTTGAGAAAGGGCTGGAATAATGCATTTCTTTTTCTTTCTGTCTTTGATCACTATAAGGGTTGGGTTGCAGTTAAGAGGCTACAATAATCTCCATAATATGTAGTTGAATCAATTGGGGGGAAATCCTATTTTAAACCTTAATATAAGGATAATAAACATCCTTTAGCCAGGTTAGGGAGGAGAAATATTGCAGGAATGGCAAGCGGTGAGCAGGTTAGATGCTGGCAGTACGATGGGTCAAAACCACGGTTGAAAGAGTGATGTTTATTGAAGTATAAAATTGTTTAATCTAGCATCTTTTTTTTTTCGTTTCTGGGCAGATGCTAGATGACACTTAAACTCCTGTCAGAGTCTTGGG